CTGGCTGTCTGGGTTTGAATCCTTCTGGGGTGTGGAGTTCAGTTGCATATTGGCTTGGGGACCATTCAAGCTTGTTCGCATAAATATAAATATTATATATATATATATATATATATATATATATATATATATATATATATATATATATATATATATATATATATATATATATATATATATGTATATATATATATATATGTATATATATATATATGTATATATATATATATATGTATATATATATATATATGTATATATATATGTATATATATATATATGTATATATATATATATGTATATATATATATATGTATATATATATATATGTATATATATATATATATATATATATATATATATATATATGTATATATATATATATGTATATATATATATGTATATATATATATGTATATGTCGTACCTAGTAGCCAGAACTCACTTCTCAGCCTACTATGCGAGGCCCGATTTGCCTAATAAGCCAAGTTTTCCTGAATTAATATATTTTCTCTAATTTTTTTCTTATGAAATGATAAAGCTACCCATTTCATTATGTATGAGGTCAATTTTTTATATTGGAGTTAAAATTAACGTAGATATATGACCCAACCTAACCAACCCTACCTAACCTAACCTAACCTATCTTTATAGGTTAGGTTAGGTTAGGTAGCCGAAAAAATTAGGTTAGGTTAGGTTAGGTTAGGTTAGGTAGGTTAGGTAGTCGTAAAATAAATAATTCATGAAAACTTGGCTTATTAGGCAAATCGGGCCTTGCATAGTAGGCTGAGAAGTGCGTTCTGGCTACTAGGTACGACATATATATATATATGTATATATATGTATATATATACAGTATATGTATATATATGTATATATATGTATATATATATATATATATATATATATATATATATATATATATATATATATATATATATATATATATATATATATATATATATATATATATATAATGAAATATCTTGCCAGATATTTCGATGATGTGCCCAAAAAAGCTCATCTCCCAGATGGTATTTTGTGTTTGGGCTCCTGCTCCCTTCACCTAATTTCATTACATTCGAGTTCAACTTTAGTAGCCGTTTTCTAAACCATTCCTCCAGTTTGTCAAGACTTAATTCTAATCATAATTTTTGCATCAGCAGCAAACATTAAGAGAAACGAGTCTATACCCTCTGGAAGATCATTGACAAATTTCAGAAGCTTGATGGGTCCAAGTACTGTACAGAGTCCTGTGGGATTCTGGTAATTACCTAAGTGTAGTTACAGGATGAGAGCTACGCTCGTGGTGTCCCGTCTTCCCAGCACTAAAGGCATAATCATGGTGGAGGCATCTCGCCACTCTGAGGTCTTCCCCTCACAGTAACTCACCGATTGGTGAAGGTTAAGCCACCCAAGAGAGTAACTCACTGTTTTCTGTTGCTTAGATACTCCCTTATCCACTGGAGTACCTGACCTGTTATTCATGCCTGTTTCTCCAACTTTTGTAACAGCCTCTTATGGGGAACTGTGTCAAAGGTTTTCTGACAGTCTAAGGAAATGCAGTCTGCTCATCCTTCTCTTTCTTGCTTAATTGTTGTAGTCTGGTCATAGAATTCTGTTAAACCCACAAGGCACAATTTACCATCCCTGAACCCATGCTGGTGGTGTATTGCAAAGCTCCTTCTCTCCTGATGTTCTACAAGCTTTTTCCTCACAATCTTCTCCTTCATCTTGCATGGTATAATGTTAGGGAAACTGGCCTGTAGGTCAGTGCCTCTTGCCTATCACCCTTTTTTTGTTTATTGGGACTACATTAGCTGTCTTCCAACTTTCTGGTAGGTCTCCTGTTTCCAGTGTCTCTTTTTACACTATGAATGTGTGTGTGTGTACTCACCTAAATGTGCTTGCAGGGTCAAGTGCGGCCCCTAGCCTTAAGAATGTTCTTAGATTAATGCAATGATTCCTTTTTCGTGCTTTTATCATTTTTACATTTAAAATTTTGAATTTAATTAGCTTCAACAACTAACACATGTAACCTATTCCATTAATTGACAGCTCTAACACTGAAAAAGCTCTTCTTGATGTCTCGACTCATTTTTGCATCTAGTTTCCATGTATGTTCCTATCTTTGAACATTACTGCATTATCTACTTTGCCAATTTTCCTTAGAATCTTATATGTTATAATTTCTCAATTATCACTCCTTTCATTCAGTATAGTAAGGTCTAGTTCTCTCAGTCTTTCCTCATAGCTCAATCCCCTCAGCTATGGAACGAGTCTTGTTACATATCTTTGAACCTTTTCTAGTTTCTCCTTGTCCTTTTTCAGGTAATGGTTCCATGCTGGCAATACATATTCAAGAGTGGGTCTCACCATTAATGTATATAGGACCCGGAAAACTCCTTTGTCCAAATTTGAGAGAGAAAGTGAGTGTGTGTGTGTAATTACCTAATTACCTAAGTGTAGTTACAGGATGAGAGCTACGCTCGTGGTGTCCCGTCTTCCCAGCACTCTTTGTCATATAACGCTTTGAAACTACTGACGGTCTTGGCCTCCACCACCTTCTCACTTAACTTGTTCCAACCGTCTACCACTCTTATTTGCGAAGGTGAATTTTCTTATATTTCTTCGGCATCTGTGTTTAGCTAGTTTAAATCTGTGACCTCTTGTTCTTGAAGTGCCAGGTCTCAGGAAATCTTCCCTGTCGATTTTATCAATTCCTGTTACTATTTTGTACGTAGTGATCATATCAGAGAGAGAGAGAGAGAGAGAGAGAGAGAGAGAGAGAGAGAGAGAGAGAGAGAGAGAGAGAGAGAGAGAGAGAGAGAGAGAGAGAGAGAGAGAGAGAGAGAGAGAGAGAGAGAGAGAGAGAGAGAGAGAGAGAGAGAGAGTGTGAGTGAGTGAGTGAGTGAGTGAGTGGAACTTGTTCGCTCAACAGGTTGATACGTGGGAGATCAGGCCAGGTCAACCGATCACATGAAGGCTCTGGCACACAGTTTGCTACTGGCTGATCCTGTTCATTATATGATTGTTGCTTAGATTTACCGTATATAAAGATGATTAAAAAAAAATCTAGGGGCAGGCTTCAGATGAGATGAGGTAGGATAACAGTTCTTGTTTGTAGTTTCACTAGATACCTATTCCTTATATGATAGTTACTTAGTTTCAAATAATAATATCATTTTTTTAGGTTCAAATTAGTCTCAGGAGCAGGCTTCAAATGAACTGAGGTAGGAATAGGTTTAACTTTTGCCTGCAATTTCACTAGGCACTTCAACTGAGGGTCCTAATTAACCCTAATATTAGTTTAAAAAAAGAAAGAGAGCGTGAGAGAACGAGAACAATGGAATCGCCCTCCTACCATCATCTGCAATGTAGTTTTACTCAGACCAGGCTGATAACAGTGCTGTTGATTTAAGGGCGACGACGATCGCGAGAAATCGTTAAACAGTGGCTGCCTGTCCCAAGACAATTAATTATTAAATATACTCCATATATCGTCTCTAGAACCGACCACATTCGCCAAAATAAGCGCGTGCGGGTTTCAAAAGTACTGAAAGTTGAGTAATACTATAAAAATACCACCGTTGTTATTTATGGACATTGAATACACCGATAATTACTTGTATGCGCAGTAAGTGGGTGAAGAATTTGGGAAAGCAACCTGTCCTCGACTCAAGTCACATTACGTCCAGCGGTCGACCCCACAGACGCATTCATAAATTTTTACATACTGTTAATTCAAAACGGAAATTTTCTCAAATATAAATTAATATTTTAATTTTTATATAATTTAATTTTAATTGTTAATTTTAAAATATAATATATTAGCATATTGTGCATATATAGCATAGGTTAGGTTAGGTGTTTAGGTCCTGTTGGGGATTATTTGTATTTGTAGTACGTGGGTGAAGCATTTATAGCGTTGTGGTTCGAACAAAATCAGTCAGTGAAGCATTTGTTCCTGAAGTGTTCGAACGTCAACAGTTTTGAGTCGTGTGTAAACCGTTTTTTCATTCATAAACAGGGGGTTTGGCGGGTACATGGAATCACTCTTGGGGTCTTTGTTTGGAGGACTGGCTGAATGGACTTGGATCGAGGACGGGTTGGTTCTAGTCACTCTTTCCCACAGCCCATCCTCCAAACAAAGACCCAAGAGTGATTCCATGCACCTGCCAAACCCCCTGTTTATGAATGAAAAAACGGTTTACACACGACTCAAAACTGTTGACGTTGAACACGTCCGGAACAAATGCTTCACTGACTGATTTTGTTCGAACCACAACGCTATAAATGCTTCACCCACGTACTACAAATACAAATATTCCCCAACAGGACATAAACACCTAACCTAACCTAACTTATGCCTATATATGCACAACGTTAATATATAATATTAATTTATATTTGGGAAAATTCCTGTTTTGAATGAACAGCATGTAAAAATTTATGAATGTGTCTGTGGAGTCGACCGCTGGATGTAATGGACTTGAGTCGAGGACGGGTTGAGTCCATCCAGCGGTCGACCCCACAGACGCATTCTTAAATTTTAACATGCTGTTCATTCAAAAGAGGAATGTTCTCAAATATAAACAAATACTGTTATATATTAGCATATTGTTCATATATAGGCATATGTTAGGTTAGATGTTTAGGTTCTGTTGGCGATTATTTGTATTTGTAGTACGTGGGTGAAGCATTTATGGCGTTGTGATTCGAACAAAATTCGTCAGTGAAGCACTTGTTCCGGATATGTTCGAACGTCAGCAGTTGTGAGTCGTGTGTAAACCGCTTTTCATTCATAAACAGGGGGTTTGGCGGGTGTATGGAATCACTTTTGGATCTTTGTTTGGAGGACGGGCTGGGTTCTAACAAAATTCGTCAGTGAAGCACTTGTTCCGGAAGTGTTCGAACGAAATCAGTTGTGAGTCGTGTGTAAACCGTTTTTCATTCATACACAGGGGGTTTGGCGGCTGCATGGAATCACTTTTGAGTCTTTGTTTAGAGGATGGGCTGGTATGTGAGACTTCAAACAGCTTTCGACCCCAGGTTGAAGTTCAGCAGACTACTTGTTCACCTGGTGCAGGAAGAACAGGGTGGGCCAGCACAGTGTTCTAGCGCTCAAGTGTACCAGTGTCTGCACGACTGTCAGGTCAGAATATATCCTCCATGTTGTGTGTATTGTTGTACAAGGTTACTTGTGTGGCTGTTCGAATTCGGAGGTGCACACCTCCCAGCTGGCACATGTACATTGATTTTAGTGTATGCCTCGCAAGGCCAGGAAGTTGTTACCAGGAACTATACCCCTACATATCATTGGTTATAGTTGTTAGGCCTTCAGTGACGTAATTACCAAAGTGTAGTTACAGGATGAGAGCTACGCTCGTGGTGTCCCGTCTTTCCAGTACTCTGTCGGATAAAGCTTTGAAACTACTAATGGTTTTGCCCTCCTCCACCTTCTCACTTAACTTGATCCAATCGTCTACCGCTCTGCGAAAGTGAACTTTATATTTCTTAAGACAGCTTTTAGTTAGTTTTAAAGGTATGACATGTTCTTGAATTTCCAGGTCGCAGGAATTCGTGGTGCACACTTGGTGCACTTAGACCTCTCAGCCGTTAGAGGTGCTTCCCGACTTGCACTGTATCCTGCCTCGCTTGCCTCTCACCATGATGAGTGTTGCACAGACACCGGCAAGCTCGATGTGGAGATGGTTTTCGATGGCCCGAGAGGCAGGCGGCCCTACCTACTACCCTCTCCAGCAGCTGCCATACCCAGCCTTTGCCTGGCACATCCAGACTGCTCTCAGCATCATCGTCTTCCTCGTTCCCATCATTCCCTTCGTCTTCCTGCTGTTGTCGTCAAGGCAGAAGCACTGGCCCTCCTTCATAGTGGTGAGTCCTTCCTCGTTATTGTGTACTGATATCACGGCAACACTTGACATTCTATTCACGCCTCCTGTATTCCGAAGCAAGTTGCTCTTTTCAACAATATTTGACTCCATATGTTTTATGTACATGTTTTGTGCAGTTAGTATTGCAGCCAAAGAGTTGTGCCCCTTGTAACAAACCTGGTACTTAACACAAATGTTTTTGTTGACGCTCTTCCTTTGCTTATCAGCGGCTGGTAATGTTGAAAAACTTAGATGTAAATGGTTTACCAATTTAAGTTTTTAATATTTTGGATCATAATATGCACTCCCACAAGCACCCCGTGAGTGATATTTTAAAAATCAAAGGCACATGATGGGCTCAGAGGAACTCCATGTTTCGTCTATGGTAATTACAGCACTGATGCGCTAAACATACACAACAACAATCTAATAAATTTATCAAACTAACATGACTCAAACTTAACATCGCGGGTTAGTTTAACCGTTTTATTATGGATCCCCATACGCATTACGCTTCTCGCTAAACAAAGTGGCGTCTGGTATTTGACAAAATCATTTTCTCGCTATGCAAAGGCAAAAGATGGGAGCGTGTATATTGTTTGAGCCCAACCGGAAAACCGGCAATGTAACGGCTGGATGAGCGGGCAACTGGACAAGGCTCCTCCCACATTTAATATTGATTTTTGTCTTGGAAAAAGCTGATAACTCTGATTAGTCGTCCACATCATCCACGAGGTGATTGGCGCACAAGACATTGAGTGACCATTTTTTTTATATATATTTTACATATATACACAAGATAAATGCACCGGAAAACCAGCACCCAAGACAAAGTAAAACAGGCACAAAACACAGGAAACACAGAACACACAAACAAAAATAACATGAAACATCAAAACTACAGTAAAGTACATAACATAATACAGGAAAGCACACAGTTCCCTGAAAAGGCAACGGGAAGCACAATATACAGGAGTGAATTTGCCTCCTGTGAACTGTCCAATTCACAGGAGGCATTATAGCTACTCTTAACCCCCTTACAGATGACTACGGCAGTTCTGTTTTTTAAATACTCCTAATCCGTCTTTAAAAACTCGCCCCCTGACAAAAAAAAATAGAAGCGAATTGACTTTTTGATCTGCATCATTAGCTTACTGAGAACAATCCTCTCAATAACCTTGCACATGCAGGAAATTAAAGATATCTGCCTAAATGTGTTAGTGTGGTTTGGGTACAGGGATTGAGGCTTTGCGTCTAACGATCTGGTAGGCAATCTCGGCGTGTCTGTACAGTTAAAGCAGCGGACTATTGAGTATGTCGGCAAGAAGCCTCAGGGTATGTTATGCCATTGTCGCCAGGAGTTGCTCTGCCCTTCTTGAGTGCCGTTCTAAGTTCAAATGGTGACATGTCATTCCCATCATCTGGACCCATTTAACTACGGGCACTTATTAAAACCCATTTTAACAAGTACTAGCAAGATGTATATTATGGAGCAGATTCAATATGCTAGCAGTGCTTGCATGCTGTTAAAGTAGCATGTCAGCGTAAGCTGTTGGGATTTGGAGCTCTTAATGTTGGCCCACATTTAGTCTAATGTTGCATGATTGATGCCTTGCAAGAACTGTTCCCGGTGCTGTGTATCTGCTCTTTCAGTTTTCTGAAAGCTCGGTTAGCTTTGATAAATGTATTGAGCAACTCTGTTGTTTTGTGTGGTGTATAATGGTCAGCAACATGTAGTACATGATCATGCCTGGACTTAAAGCTTGAGTCAGACCTGTCCTCTATTCTTAGTCACTTGTGTTTCATCCATTTGACATAGTACTATTACTTCATTAACAAGATCCTCATATAAAGCACTGACATTGGTAAATGTTCGACTGATACCAATCGTATATTTTGAGCTTGAAGCGCATGTGTAGGTTATCAGGGAGGTTAACTGTATCTTTCATGTGGTGTATTTGTTTAGTATGGCATAGCGATCACCAACTCTTGCACTATGGACAACATCGTCTAAGAGATCATGATCTATTACACAAGTCTTCCACCGGAAATGTGTATTGTTAGATAGGTTTACATAGAAATTTTAATGAGGCGTTTTACAAACGACTGTTTTATCATCCCTTGACTTAATGCTTCTTGCGTTAAGTAACACATTATGATGGTTTGAGTCACTATTGATTCTGTTCCATCATTGTCACACCTCGCATAAATGTTTCATAGGTAGAGGGAGCCTGTCTCTCTGGATATCTGAAACTTCTGATAATAAGTATCTTTGCTCTTTTGATTTTTACAAATTACAAATTAGACCACAAATTTACAAATTAGACCACTGTTATGCCTACATCATTAGGACCTGCGTTAGAAACGCATCCTGAGAATCTAGGTTGTGTATTGTTCAAGGTGTTTGACATGTATGGTTCTTGCAGGCACACTACATTCATACAGAGTAATCACACTAACGTGATGTGTTAATGAGAAAATCAGTAGGAGGCGTGATGAGGGTTCCAACCTATGCAGTGGGTGTTCCCACGCACATGCCTTAGTCAACTAAGCCATGACATTGTAAAAAGATTGCAACCTATCTGTCCTTCTACAGAATCCTTTTACCATGTCGTGGCCTAGTTGACTAGGGAAACAAACAACTTTTCATGCATGTTTATCAAATTTAAATTTTCACACCTATTTAAGTCTGTGAGCACGTTAACTGGTCTTGCCGCTTTGAAGTTTAAGTCAGTGGGTGTAAGCAATAATGGGTTGTGTTGCAGGTGCTCCTGTGCTTCCTGACGGGGTTCGTCCTGACGGTGGTGTTTGGGTCGTCGTGGTGGATGGTGGGGCAGGCGGAGGTGGTGATGAGCGTAGGACCTCTCCGGCCACCAGTGGGGGGCACCATGGGCGTGTTGGCGGGGCTCGCTCACGTTAACCTCACCTACATCACCCCGACCTTCTCCCTGAACGAGATGGTATCATGGACAACGCAGATGGACTTAATGCTCGCACACAGGAGGGCACTGCGGGCAGGGTGGCCTTGGGGCCTGCTGTGCCTGACGGCGGAGCTGGGCGGCGAGAGCAGGGCGTGGCGTGGGTCTCTAGGTGACGGTCTCAGAGAAGCAGGGTTGATCACCTCCTCCCTGCTGGTGGCAGCCATGTACGTGTGGGGGATTTGGGTTGTGCTCTTCACCGTGGCCCCGGAGCTCACTGCTCTCCCACTCATGCTGACGGGGTTGCTCATGGCCCTCGCATCTCTCACTTACGTCGTCTGTATTGGCGCTCACATCCCCTCCAAGTTGATGGTGAGCGGGACTAGCATGGAGCTGCAGCTGGGGTTATCGTGGTGGCTGACCACGGTCACGGGGATAATATTAACGGCTGCTGGTTGTGGTCTGTTTCTCTATGATGCAAAGTACCCTGGATATCTCTCGCTATATTTCGAGATGGATTTTGGAACAGAAAGTCGCAGACTGTTTCCCCCGAGTTGGGACCATACTGAAACTCTACTGGCATATACTTCTCCAGATACCTCTTCTCGGGGATATTCTACATTTTATTTAAATAGCAAACAAACAAGCCCCAAGAAAGTTGTGGATAACAACGCATATTACACGCCTGACGAGAATAACAACTATCAGCTAAACTACAACGCAATGACTTATAACCCAAACCAGGGAACAGATGTTATGTTGAAAGAGAACGGAATAATTTCATTTTATTACGAGCGTACTGTTCCTGGTCCTTCACAAAGTTTTGGGAGAGGGCCAATGATGACAAATTGCGAGAGTATCACGCAGGGAGCCGGCAGCCTAGCGCACCACCAGCAACACACGCCCCTCACCAACAATCCCAACACACTACGCCGACGGTCTCCGGAGGTGACGGGGCCTTCACAGCTAATGTTACCCTTGTTCTGCACGACTCCAAAGTCCCACGAGCCTGTAAACCCACGCCACAGTCAGGGCTTGTCCCTACACTCCAGACCAAGTTTCTTGGTTCGATCTGGCAGGAAATCTTTTAAGCAGTTAATGTCCAGAGATAACTCCAAGTTCAGCCCAAGGAACTATCCGAAGGCGTCGCTAATTTCCTGTCGGAAGACCTCTCGCTTTCTTTCGAGCAGCGCTTCTGAGCAAGTGTTGGAACGTTCACAGCAGGATACAATAGCTAAAGAACTGATGCAGTCCAGCACTCTCTTTTAGGCTATTGTCATAATTTTCTTCCCTAAGATTTTTAGTGCAGTAGTTGATTACACTTTCCTACATTTACTTTGTTTTATAAAGAAACTCAGAGGCATGCCCACATTTGTATTTAATTTGTACTACCTAGAGCTAATAAGCCCATAAAAAATTATTGTTCATATGTTGTATAAAAGTATTTTAGCCAATATTTGTAAATGTTTCTTCATATATATATATATAAGTAAATTTTTTTATTTATCCACTTCAAAATAAATATATAAGCGTACATGTTAATTTCCTGCTAACCAGATGGTATAGACATTATTAATATCTATACAGAGTTGTTGGTCTAGTACTCAAATTGCTCATCCATCTGGAACATCTGTTCCTGTCTTTCTGAAGGCCGCTTCCTACCATGTGTACACTACGACCGTAGTTTTGATTGATGGTGACATTGATGACGTTGCCAGAAGAAACCTGATTTGCTCGATCAGTATTAAGCTCTCGTGAATATAATAACATAAGATAAATTCAGAAGAATAAATTCCAAACAAATTCACAATAAAACCACGGATCACCCACTGTATCACCACGGATACAGTCTCCGTGGTGTAGTGGTAAGACACTCGCCTGGCGTTCCGCGAGCGCTATGTCATGGGTTCGTATCCTGGCCGGGGAGGATTTACTGGGCGCAATTCCTTAACTGTAGCCTCTGTTTAACGCAACAGTAAAATGTGTACTTGGATGAAAAAACGATTCTTCGCGGCAGGGGATCGTATTCCAGGGACCATAGAATTAAGGACTTACCCGAAACGCTACGCGTACTAGTGGCTGTACAAGAATGTAACAACTCTTGTATATATCTCAAAAAAAAAAAAAAAAAAAAAAAAAAAAAAAAAAATGCTTCAGTATTTTTCAGTCTACAAACGTCAGGGCAGCGGTTCCCACCTGGGGAATCATGAAAGAATTTCATGGAGGTTCACGGGACCCCATGAAATGGGGCTCTGTACGGTATTGCATTCTTTAACGAAATAGAAACCTCTTAATGTTGAATTTAATGTCTACTGTTATTATTCATATGCAGTTTTAACCGGCAATAACAATGCAGGACTTTGTGTGAATTATTCATTCACCGCAACAATGCTCCCATTTTGATAGCTCAATCTATTTTGTTATAGGGGTCTGTTACTACTTTAGTCAAATTTGTCTTCATCAGGCCTGGCTCCCAATCCAGCCTCAGGCTAAATAAGGTAATACGTCTAGATAGGTACTTGCCTATTAGTGTCACATGGAGAGTGAGGTCTAGCTCTTTATGCCCCCGCCTACTAGCTTTGTACTGTACCGGATAGCAGTTATTATTATTGTTATTAATATAGGCATCCTGCTGTCACTGGAGACTACAGAGTTACGCTCGGGTTGTCGAACACAATATTATCTTTATTTACAATTACTTAACATTTTGCCTAATCTGAGGCAATTGGGTCTTAGTGAGGATAATGCTGGTATTCACTGTCACCCAGGACAGAGGACCATACACATGACAATAGGTCTAAACTGTAGGCTGAAGCACATACAATCATACATGGTCACAATCAACTACATTACATTATACATAGTTTCAATTTACGAACATGTAAATGCAGCTTTCTACTGTGCACTGACATAAGGGCTGGGATAGGTTCATAAGAGATGCAGCTTAAAAATAAAAAAAATAAAATTATTCTTCATTCTTTAAAATGGCCAAGCAAATTGACGATAAATTCTTAGGATGTCGTCCAGTACATCAGATTCGATGAAATAGTTAGTTGGTGGTACAATAGGCGGTCTAAAATCTTTTACAGTTTCACATTCAACAATGCAGTGTTCTAGTGAATGCCTTTTAAGGTTTCAGTTTACAAGCCGAATATTCTGGTAGTGGCTCAGCCTCGCTATAGCCTGCCAGATGTGCCTATATTGAAGTGAAATTGCGCAATGACATCACACTGCCTGCTCCTGTTACTGTGCTAACCATACAAATACCTAGACAGTTAAGGATTGGCGCCCGGTCAATCCTTGTTACTAGCAATTTATTAAATTTTAACTTTGCTATAGAAGCCAGTGCTGTATAATTAACATGTTTACATAAATGGTAAACCATTCTTGCATGAGGGTATTGGTACTGCCATTGATTTGTTAACTCGTCACAGTACTATGTAAGGTGCAGACGTGCAGTGGTCAGTACACTTGGTTCACAAACAAACAGTCCTGGGTTCAATTCCTTAGCAAGGAGAGACGTTTGGGCACATTTCCTTTTAACCTGGGGATCATATTCCAGGGACCTGCCCGAAACGCTACGCGTACTAGTGGCTCTACAAGAATGTAACAACTCTTGTATATAGCTCCAAAAAACAAAAAAACTGATGGCTCTCTTTTCCCCAGCAGTAAATAGGTTCCCGGGAATTAGGCAACTGTTGTGTGTTGTATCTTGGTCAGTCATTGGCCTGGGCCATTAGGGATGGGGGGGGAGGACTAGATGAGCCTAACAGACTTCCCCTCCCCCCCCCCCCTACAATGGAAAAAATTTTTAGATAGGGACTGAAGACTCGAAGCTCAAGGCCCGCAAGTTCAATTAGGCGAGTACATCTAAAACATCTTAGGCGGGGGTCTGGTAGTTGAGTGGAAAACGCGCAGGGCTCATAATTATGTGGCCCGGGTTCGATTCTCGGACCAGGCAGAAACAAATGGGCAAAGTTTCTTTCACCCCGATGGCCCTGTTACCTAGCAGTAAATAGGTACCTGGGAGTTAGACAGCGGTTACGGAGCTGCTTCCTGGGGGGATGTGGGGAAAAAAATAGTAGCTAGTTACAGTTGATTGACAGTCGAGAGGCGGGCCGAAAGAGCAGAGCTCAACCCCCGCAAGAACAACTAGGTGATACAACTAAGTGAATAAATCTAGTACGACGCTTGTCGGTGGGGCTGCAGTGCCCCATATCCGCGACAATAGCTGAAGACAACAACGATCCGATGTGGAATAATCTAAGTTCTTGCAATATATATATATATATACAGTTTTTTGAAGGAACTGGGTTCTAGGCTCATTGAAACAACAAGGGACCCAAGAGCTGCAAGCTTTCTTTTCCAGCGCCTCAGTGTGGCGATACAGAGGGGAAATGCGCACTGCATCCAGGGTTCCTGCCCGCCATCTGAGGAGCTGGAGGAACTCGACATCCTATGATAACCATCTTTGTAACCCATATGTAACTCCTCTTTTGTAACAAAGTTCAAATAAAGTAAATATATATGTGTACATACAAAAGAATGGGGGTGGTAGGAGAAGATAATATTAGTGTTCAGTGAGAAACCACAAGGTCTCCTCTGAATTCTTTTTATTTTCTTCTCCGAGGCTATGGGTCCCCACATTGGCACCAGAGGTGGTACCCTCACAAAATAAATATATATATATATATATATATATATATATATATATATATATATATATATATATATATATATATATATATGTCGTACCTAGTAGCCAGAATGCACTTCTCGGCCCACTATGCAAGGCCCGATTTGCCTAATAAGCCAAGTTTTCCTGAATTAATATATTTTCTCTAATTTTTTTCTTATGAAATGATAAAGCTACCCATTTCATTATGTATGAGGTCAATTTTTTTATTGGAGTTAAAATTAACGTAGATATATGACCGAACCTAACCAACCCTACCTAACCTAACCTATCTTTATAGGTTAGGTTAGGTTAGGTAGCCGAAAAAGTTAGGTTAGGTTAGGTTAGGTAGGTTAGGTAGTCGAAAAACAAATAATTCATGAAAACTTGGCTTATTAGGCAAATCGGGCCTTGCATAGTAGGCTGAGAAGTGCGTTCTGGCTACTAGGTACGACATATATATATATGTTTCATTGAATATGACCGCATATTCTGTATTTATTATTTTCTGGTTTAGGGCTTCTATCCCTCTAACTATTTTCTTAGCATCAGGGCTTAATTGAAATAGGAGTTCTCCAAAACTCATTTTCGTACTTTAAGGTGAAGAAAAGAAGTGATTTACTATAGAGTGTATTACACTTATTTGTATAATTTGCACGACGTTTCGAACCTCCATGGTTCATTCTCAAGTGAACAGATCTTACAATACTAGTTGATTTTATACCCGCATTAGGTCAGGTGATAATACAATGAAGGTGAAAACATGGGGGGATACATAAGGGATAAACATAGGGGCTGCAGAAGGCTTATTGGCCCATACGAGGCATCTCCTATCTAAACACAAAGATTAATCCAGTGTAATTGCCAATTACACTGGATTAATCTTTGTGTTTAGATAGGAGATGCCTCGTATGGGCCAATAAGCCTTCTGCAGCCCCTATGTTTATCCCTTATGTATCCCCCCATGTTTTCACCTTCATTGTATTATCACCTGACCTAATGCGGGTATAAAATCAACTAGTATTGTAAGATCTGTTCACTTGAGAATGAACCATGGAGGTTCGAAACGTCGTGCAAATTATACAAATAAGTGTAATACACTCTATAGTAAATCACTTCTTTTCTTCACCTTAAAGTACGAAAATGAGTTTTGGAGAACTCCTATTTCAATTAAGCCCTGATGCTAAGAAAATAGTTAGAGGGATAGAAGCCCTAAACCAGAAAATAATAAATACAGAATATGCGGTCATATTCAATGAAACATGTTTGAAAGAAAACCTGCTGCCAGTATACACCAATATATATATATATATATATATATATATATATATATATATATATATATATATATATATATATACTTTATATTTATATATATATAAAGTATATATATATATATAAAGTATAATATATATATATATATATATATATATATATATATATATATATATATATATATATATATATATATATATATATATATTTGTACCTAGTAGCCAGAACTCACTTCTCAGCCTACTATTCAAGGCCCGATTTGCCTAATAAGCCAAGTTTTCCTGAATTAATATATTTACTATATTTTTTTTCTTATGAAATGATAAAGCAACCCTTTTCTCTATGTATGAGGTCAATTTTTTTTTTATTGGAGTTAAAATTAACGTAGACATATGACCGAACCTAACCAACCCTACCTAACCTATATTTATAGGTAAGGTTAGGTTAGGTAGCCAAAAAAAGCTAGGTTAGGTAGGTTAGGTAGACGAAAAAACATTAATTCATGAAAACTTGGCTTATTAGGCAAATCGGGCCTTGCATAGTAGGCTGAGAAGTGAGTTCTGGCTACAAGGTACGACATATAT